ATAATAATAATAATAATAATAATAATAATAATAATAATAATAATAATGCATGACTGTGTTTGTGAAGATTGGTTGAGAAGTATATGTTGAATTTAGAAATTTATGCAATGGAAAAACAAACAAAAAATAAAATAAAAAAACATCAAAAACATGCAAATAAACGAAAAATATCTATTATGTTAATAAACTATTATGATGAGTGAGGGAAATATATATTTTCTTTTCAATTAATCTGACTAATTAATGTTTTGTCCTAATTAACATATTTGTTATTAGCTATTTAAATAATGGATAACAGATACAAAAAAAAAAATTGTGCTGATGTGTCTCGAGCACACTCGTAAACAACAATCGTAAAAAGAAAGGATAAAACAAAATAAAATCAACTCTCTTTGACGTGTTTTTCTATTCCCACACACCTGGTGCAGAAGTCATGCAGCGTTGTCATTCTCGGGAAAACTTGTTTTATTTATTTATAAAATAATACAAAAAAAAATAATAATAATAATAATAATAATAATACAAATAAATAAATCTGCACTTTCTAATAGAACTTCAAACGCTGTCCAATGGGACATTGCATCGAAGAGTTCAACCCCCACCAAGGAATCAGCTGTTATTTTATTTGTATTTTTTTTAACAACATAATTATGCTATTTAGCGGGCTGATGTGTCGCAATCACTGCTGCAGCACACTCTGTCAGATTAAAATAGAGGAGCCAACTAGAGGACATTAAGGCTGAGGGAATTACACAAACCTCAGGGGAGATTTCCCACTGGAGAAAGGCGAAAGTAAACTATAGAGATTAATGGCAGCCATAAACAAGAGCATGCTGTCCCACCGCAGTGGAGGTCAACAATAACGACATCAATAATAATAATTATACTGATTCAATGCCCTTTAAAAGCTCCGTAATAAACAAAATCTAAACGAATAAAAATAATAAAAAGAAATCCAATAAAAATTTGAAATGATATAAAACTGCGGCCTTTTGGCTTGGAGGCCTACATCCGTACGATAAGTTATTATATTTTTATACAAGGGATGCAAAGATGTTGTTGTTGTTGTCGGTGTAACAGCAGCTTTTATAAACCACACAAATCCATAAAAATATAGTCACGCTCTCTAATAAGAAAATATAAACCCCCTCCTCCCTTTTATGATCTCCATGTGGTTTCTTTCTTCCTTTTTTTTTTTGTTTTTTTTCGTTCGTTTTATTTTTTTATCCTCTTGTCAAAGTTGCTCTAATCCTCATAATAACAGTAATCATCATTGTTGCCCCAGTGGCTTCAGATCTTCTCCTTTTTTTCTTCTTCAGCAGGCCATTTGATCGGGCATGGGTTTCCGTGACGGATTAGCAGACACCCCCCACCCCCACCCTCCCTGAAATTAGGAGCAAGTGTGACACCTACCTGCAGAAGTTGGAAGAGTTAGAAGACTCTGGCTGTCTATAGCAGCTGCACAGCCTTCTAATAATAATAATAATAATAATACACAATAAATAATGATATTGTTTCTGTAGCCACGTGCGCAGCGCAACACTCTCCAGGGCTGCACATCCAACGCGTCATTAAAGGAGACTGTCCATTAATGACATATATTTATCCATAATGGGCCAGTATGTTTTAAATGCATGGCCGCTTCCCTTTTAACAGCTTTGCCACGCCTTGGAAAATAGTAATGAGGTCTAAATTTGGCATAAAATCGAGCTCATTACTGGAGTTCACCACCTGATTGCGCTGGATAAAACACGGGAGGTAATTGGGTTAAACGACTGCGCCTTGCTGTTATTATATCAATATCCATTTTTAGGAACGTGCCCACAGAAACAGAGTGAAACGAGGCCCTAAGCTTCATAAAATTATCATATAACAATCAATATGTTTTGTTTTCATTCACTTTTTGTTGTTGTTGTTGTATCCGTGCAGCAGTAACACAAACTGATTGTTTTAATATTGCACCATCCTTCAGCTGAACAGGCCTTTCACTTCCTCTGCCTGGAAATTTGGAAATAATTACCTCTGGCCCATCTGTCATTGTGCAAAACGGAATTCAAATTTCGCATAGATTAAGTGGCCTTAAAGCACTGTCGACACACGAAGCAAAACCAGCTGTTCACCCAAATAATCGCTGCACAACTCTCTCTCTCTCTCCATAATTTACTTCAAAGATAATGTGCTGTTCATTTTAAATACAAAAAAAAAGCTACATTAAATATACATTGTTAGTCTTTAATACAAATATGCGGCTGCAGCGATTTTTTTTTTAAGACCGTCCTTGTTACAGTTTAGCATTCAGAAACTAAAACAATCTGAGGAGAAGCGTTCAGAAAATAAATGTTCTCAAAATTTGCTTCACCTTTTTTTCTTCTTCTTCTTTTTTTTTTAATGCAACCACACCAAAAAAAAAAAAAAAAAAAAAAAAATAAATTAAAGTCCGCGGTGAGTGGCAAATATTCAGGTATTAAATATTTGACATACCTTTCTTTAGTTCAAAAGGGGAGTCTTTACAAAGATCTACCTGCGTTTGGCTTCTGACTTTCTGGCTCTCTCTCACCAGAGCCTCTGCTCTATTTAACACAGTCTGGTTTATTCCATTGAAATGCGCCGCGGAGCCCGAGCCGCTGTGGAGGTGTCCAAAAGTGCCACCGTAGTTCGTGTAGCCAGGGTAGAAAGGGGACGTGTAGTACAGAGGCCTGGACAGAACCGTGCTGTTGGGGAGGGGGCACTGCGGCGAGGACCGGGACGGGGACGCGGTGCTGCCCAGCACCGCGCTCTGATGACCCAAACCCGGACACGCCTGCGCGTCGCCTGCGCCGCCGCTGCTTTTACACCTGTCTGAGGACGTGGCGATCTCCGCGAGGGACCAGAGTTTGGGTTTGGGGGCCGAGGGGGGCGAGTGGATCACAGAGGTCACGTTGCTGGTCACTGCGTTCTGTGCGTGGCTTAAATCTGACGGCTTGTCTTGCTGCGCGGCGGCCTGGCTCCCCCGGGGGGCCGCCGGGGGGGACGAGGTGGTCGGTTTGGCGGAGTCCGGAAGCAGCTCCGTAGTCCGCTCCTCCTGGTCTTTTAACTCCGAGTCGCTCAGGAGGGGGTCCACTTCTTTGCCACGGCTCTCTTCTTTAAATCTGTCGCAGCCCATGTCCCCTGGGTTCAGTAGTTTGTGATCTGAAGCGCGAAGAAGAAACATAATTAACCGAGTAATACTGATATCATGCATTTAAGTGGAATATATATTTTTAAAAAAGGCGCATTTCTAATTTAATCCATAAAGTTCTATCTTATCTTATTTCCTCTTAAAAAAAAAAAAACAGTAACTCTGCGCTTTGAATCTCGTAAACACGTGCAGCAGATTAAAAACAGATCAGTGAACTTCCATTATACTTCACACCTCCGAGGCTTTTTTTTTTTTTAACATAAATGCATTTTCTCAGTTAAATGGCATCTCAGAAGTCCTGCGAAGCGCGTGCATGAACATCCAAAGGCACTTGTTTTAGCCCAATTCCCAGCTCCCTTCTGCAGCTGCATCCTTATTATAGCGTTAAAGATAAATTGGCTGCTAAACACTCCGCGTCACCAGCAATTTCAGCCCGTGAAAAGTCAAACGAGGGGAGTTCAAGGTGATTATTATTTAAAGCAATTGTCTCATTATAAATTATATACCACCATTAACCAGCAATCAATTTTGCGCCCTGAGTGGAAACGACTGCGATGAAAAATTGATGATTTTTCCCCCTTCTTTCTCTTTTTTTTATTCCCTCCCCTAACACCAACCTGCTTCTGTGTCTGTGGAGTCTCCTTTATCTAAAGGCTTGTTGGGCTCGTCGTCGTCATTTTTCTCCAAGTCAATATTCTCGTCCTCCTCCTCGTCCTCGCTCCGGTTCCGGGGGATCCAGGTCATCTTGTTCTCCTTCTTTAGTCTCCTCCGGGCGTTGGCGAACCAGGTGGACACCTGCGTGAGGGTCATCTTGGTGATGATGGCCAGCATGATCTTCTCGCCCTTGGTGGGGTAGGGGTTCTTGCGGTGCTCGTTGAGCCAGGCCTTCAGGGTGGCGGTCGCGTCCCGCGTTGCGTTTTTGCGGTACGCGGGGTCACCATAAGGGTAGGTGCCCAAGGGCGCTGCGTAAGGGTGGTATCCTATAGACCCGGCCATTCCCGTGGTGTGATCATAGGGAGAACTCTGAAACGATAATAATAAATAATAATAATAATAATAATAATAATAATAATAATAATGCCATTTATGAAAAAGGTTCTGCTCTCTTGCCTGTCTGAATTGACCTGTACGGCACATAAACATGAACATACATGCACATACACATAAAGCGTGCGTTGCAACACAAACACGCACGCGCCCGCACACACGAACGCGCTGGCTTGAATCCAGCAGGTCAAGCTGGAACTTTGTGGAGTTTCTCTGAATCAGATCTGCTTCTGCCCGTTTGTTGCTTTTCTCTGCGTCACTGATGAAAGACAACTATTTTAATTTTGCCCATTTTAACCCAAGATTATTTTAATTCAACGTGGCTCTCTTAAAATGTTATTTTATTTTATTATAGTAACTTGGCCTTTAAACTACAGGATGAATAACTTGTAACGATTATTTATTTATTTATGGAAAACAGAATAAACAACGTAAGGCCGCATATACGTTTTGGCTTGTTTTTCAATGTTAAACTTTTAACAGCGGGCACAGTTAATAAGATTATTAATAATAAAAAAATAAAAACAAGCATAGCTCTGAGCTGTCACTTTTCGGCACAGTCGACGCTTTATCTATAATTAGTAAACACATTTTTTTTAGCAGATTTTCTCTAAATTTCTCTTTATGCTCGCAACGATTCTCCTATAATTGTATTTATTCGTTTATTTATTTATTTATGTGTTTGTTTGTTTTGTTCTCCACAGTTCAGCTCCTCTCCGACTGAGCAGAAGTTTACAGGGACTTCATTCCCTGCGTGTTCGCGTGCGTCCCTCAGCTGTAACGTACTCACCACGTATGAGGTGAAGGTGGCAGCTGCCGCCGCGTCTGCGCTGTACGGGAGGTGCGCGTTGTAGCCCGGAGAGGCGCTCGTGAACGCAGTAGATCCGGCGTAGGGCGCAAAAGCAGATCCCGAGGAGGATCTCCCAAGTTCCTCCGTCCTGGGTCCCGAAATGACGCTCGTGCTGTACGCGGGGCACGAGTACAGAGCCAAGGAGGCGGACGGCTGGTACAAGTAGCCCTGAGGATACGCCATGCTGGAGCCCCGGAGAGAGTGAGCCACTTAACTTGCGCTCTTTCACCCCCTCTCCTCTCGTTTTTTTTTTTTTTTTTGGTTTGTGGTTTGTCTTTAGTTTCTCATGCGCTGCTGTCGGAGCGCGCTGTGCGCCCGCAGACCCCTCTGTCTGTCCTTTCGAGGGAATAAAATGTAAAAAACAAAACAAAAAAAACAAAGAAGTGCAGAGTTTAGTTTTTTGTTTAAAGGCTCGAGGAGCGGGTGGATCAGTGCGGTCGCTGCAGCTGCAGCCACGCTCCGGCGGAGGTTGTGTCTCTGTGCTGCTCCCTTATCCGAGCTGCACCGTCGCGCTCATGCCTGTGCACAAGTTTTATTTATATATTTTTTCGTCCCGTCGGACGGGGGCTTTGCTTGGGAAAATGTCCTGCCAAGATGCTAAGTTGGAAATTGAGGATCTTGACGCCTACTACGCTGCGCACGCTCCTCCTCTCCGGGTGTAGTCATCCAAGGGATAGGCGAGTTTATGCTGGGTTACCACCACCCCACCCAAACCCATGCTCTCTCTCTCTCTCTCTCTCTCTCTCTCTCATTCTTTATTTCTCTGTCTCCCCCCTCCGCCCCCACCCCCACCCCCCTTAACAAGACTGGTTGCAGTGAGCCTCAAGTGCGCCTGGCAGCCCCCCTTTGGACCGCGACGTCACGCGCGTCTATCAACTCCCAACTTTCCCCTTTCCATGTTTTTTTTTTTTTTTTTTTTTCTCTTCATGTCCAAAATACGAAGTCCTCACTTTCCCACTTGATCAATAACAACCGGACTGTTGTTTTACAGGATGTGAGGCGCAAGATACCGGGAGAATTAAGAAGGAGCTCCACTTCTCTTTGTTTGTTGCGTTTTTTCTTTCTTTCTTTCTTTCTTTGCGCGTAAAAGAGAAGAGAAGAAGCAAAGTGGTCATTTTCAAAGCGCGTTGAATGAACAGAGTCTGTCCGAGCTCCGCGGCTTCAGGATTGCTGCACATGAGAATGTCAACTTTTTCAAAATAGTCGGTAAGATGCAGGTTGGAGACAAAAAAAAAAAAAAAAGAAGCTAGAAGATCATAAGATGGCGCAAACTGCACTGACAGAACGGAGCAACTCTTTCAGGATCATTTATTTTATGTTCTATGGTGGTAAACAAACTTTTTAAATATTCTGAGTTATTTATTTATGTGTTTAAATTTCGTTATTTCCTCATATGCGAGCGAGTCTTAATTGTTTAAAAATGATGCTCCCCTTGCTGATTTTTATTTCATTTATTTATTTATTTATTGTGGCTTCAAAAAGTCATACACCCTCAATCCAGGGCAGATTAGCTCCAATTAGAACAAATCCGCTCGGATTAGTGCATGGGTGTAATGTCATTTGATTATAACAAAAATACTCTGGATTCTCATTAAATAAATAAAATATATATATAAGCACAACTATAGTTGTAATAACGTACCTGATCAGCTTTTTCTTGTAATTTAAACATATCTATAATTTGATATAATAATAATTATAATAAACATAATAATAATTATACTTGTTATTTAAGCCATCAGTGTTTATAATATATACTGTTTTTAATCCCACAGCCTGTTTGTTTCGTGGTCGGTGACTGACTCTGCAGTTCAGGTCTCAGATGAGCCGAAAGGGATCGCTGTAGGCGCTGCTAAAGAGTGCGTGCACACGCGGTCACGTGCTTCTCACGCTCTGAAAACTCTCGGGAGAGGATGGAAAGATGACGCCGGTACAGTGCGAGCACACACACTCAGGACTTCAGACGGGAGAGAGAGAGAAGGTGCTCGCATAGGTGGGGAGGGATGGGACGTGTGTGCGTGTGTGCGGGGGGGAGGGGGGGGGGGGGTCAAAGCTAAGCGACCCTACCATGCTGTATCCTAATCAGATGAAAGTGATATGATGAGACCTGTTTCACTTCCTCCCCAGTGTTTAGAGTAAAAGAAAAATGTACACGGTGTTGTTCGGAACTTTTCAGAACATCAGTGTTATCAGGTAGTTACTGCGTGAATAGATTCCACTGTCTGTACATGTGTGCGAGCTGTGCCACCACTGTGCTTTGATTACTTCTATTCAAGACTTAAGGTAAGTGATGGAGATTAGAAGGCTGATGGTTTGTGTGTGTGTGTGGGGGGGGGGGGGGGGGGGTGTCATGTGTCCTCCCTGATTGTTTCAGAGTCGCTCTCCACAGTAGGAGGAGGACCCATAATTTGAGATCACGGAGCCTTTAATAAGAGCTGGGTTCTGGTAAGTGCTACCGCCTCTCAGCACCATGCGCTGCTGGAGGAGGAGGAGGAGAAGGCGGAGGTAAGTTTTTTTTTTTTTTTTTTTTCTACTCCTCATTTACGCGTTTGGAAAAGGTGCATTATAATTGGGATGCGTAAAAGTGGGTTGTCTTTGCAGAAAAAAA